TAATAATAATAATAATAATAATAATAATCCCCATTAATTCGTAAACAACGGCTTACGAATCGGCTGGTTTCGACTATTGGTTTATCGGGCTCAATTTCATAAACTCCGAACATACATAATGCTCGGAAAATAAAATATGACGACTCGTAAATCTTTAAATTTTACGAAAGCGACTTAATATATATTTATTAGCACATACTAATAAATACATCATCAAGTAATTATTTCACTTTGGCATTCATAAAAAAAATAATAATAACAATACATAATATTTATAATAAGCAATCTCAAATAATCCATTTCTAAAATGAATGGACCAGAATAAAATTCTAACACTAGCCCGATTACTGAATACAATTTAACCGAGAATATAATTATATTATCCACCTAATAATATAATATATATATATATAATCACATAATAAAAAAAAAATCAGAAAAATCTAATATTCAAATGGCGCATTATAAAATAAATGCCAAATAATAATATCCAATTATTCCGGAACAAATGGGGCGCTACATCACACTTGCCAATATTCTCAATCTTGCAGGTCTTTTAATTGCCCTACGTGAATGTGTCACCATGGTAAACAGGCAGATGCTCTCACCTCCGTGACTATCAATAATCCTTGCAGAAGGTGTTGGTTCGTATACTAAAAGTTGACATTGTTACGGATTTATTCCGGTTGAATGGAAAATCATGTTTAGTTAAACGCGTGTATTTTCTATTATTTTATATTAAAAATTAAAATAATTTACCGTGTTGAACAGGAGATCATATTATCAGTTCCTAGTAAAATATACAGAATGGTTCACAAACTAGATAGAATTGAACGAACTACAGTGAACAGTTGTAGTGTAATTATAAAATTAGTTGATCTTAACTAATGAATTACACTAGTGCACTAAGAGTGTATTGAACGTACCACGGAGAATAAATTTATTTTATACTGACCAAGTAAATAAATTAGATCGTAGTTATTGCTCGTACTCTTAATCCGTAAGATAAAAAATTAGGCATGTGTATTTAATATTAATTACTTTGATTTACTAAAAAGTGGGATTCATTTACTAGATAAATAGACTTGGCGATTGGGTAATAATATTATTTACATGATATTAAAATTATTTACGGACACTTTGTCTCAGTGCTCCAGATTGATGATGTCTACGAAATGAGCTCAAGACGTTTGTTATGCTAAACTCTGCAGGTGGATTGGTTTTTGTCATAATAAAAAAGTTGATGGCACTAGTTTTAGAAACAGAAAGTTAATTAATTAACTATCAATAGTTAGATTAACTAATAGACATTATATTTAAAACACGGAGAAAATAAACCGAGTAAATGAATCTTGAGCCAAATAGTAATTTGGAGTTAAATAGGAAACTCAATAATATCCTTTAGTGAAATTGAATATTATTCATATGGATTGGGTATAGGGGGACCAAAATTAAGTTACCTAATCTTATATAAATTAGATGATTTTCAATTTTTTTCATTCTTCAACACGTCTAAATGTGTGTGTGCGTGTGAGAGAGAGAGAGAGAGAAGGAGAGAGATAGAGAGAGAAAAGTTTTAAGAAAGAGGGAGAAAGATGGTGTTTCCAAACACTAGATCTTATTCCATCTTTCTCAAAAACTGATCAAGTGATAATAATGAGAGCAAGATTCATTGGCGTCGCCCACAAAGTGTTGGGTTCTGTTAGGAACGTCGGCTATTGTGCACATTCAAATCTATTGAAAAATAAATCCTAACCCTTGCACATATCCATTCTCTTGTTCATGACCATAGGCTTGACTTTGTTGGTTTTCTCGAGTCAGTGACCCCCACCCCTTCTTTTAAGTTCTACTCACGCTGCTTTGGTTTCAACTCTGGCGTGGGAGACATTTCCAATGATATCTGGTTCTTTTATTCTCATGACTACACTTGCTGGTTCATCTGTGATATCGAGCAGGTACTGCACGTCGAGCTCTTGTTGCCTATCTCCTAAGCCCTCTTCCACACTCTGGTTTACGCGAGTTATGCAAGGGTCAGACGTTATGGTATGTAGGACACTATGCGTGAGATTGATGAGAGTATGGAGGGATTACCGTGGGCTACCTTTCTCACTTCCTAAAGGGTTTCATCCGCGATAACCATAGGATGACCTATGCCACTCGTGACTACGGTCCTCCCATTCTGCACCTCTCATATGGGGATGGCATCATTATCTTCACGCATGCGGATGATGATGGACTGGTCGAGCTTATGCACCTCTTGGAGTACTATGACTCGGTCACCTGTCAGTTTGTCAGTGTGCAGAAGAGCACTTTCATCCTCTGATCCACCATTGCGGACTGATGGGCATAGTGGGCCCACGAGCATACTGATTTCACGCATGGAGACCTCTCTATCACTTACCGGCGCCACTTTATACAAGGGCAATATTCCGAGAGTGCTCTTTGGGGACGTCAGGCAGAGGCTGATTGACCGAATATCCGGTTGGTTGCTAAGACATCTTTCTTTCGGGAGTCAGCTCGTGCTGATCAAGAGCACCCTCAGTGCCTTTCCGTTTCATCTTCTTATGGTCCTCAATCTCCCCAGATCCACTCTCCACGAGCTCAACCAAATCATGACTCGTTACTTATGGGTACATGGTGACGACTTCCGGAGTGGAAAGTGGTTCCACTGAGTGAAGTGGGACTCCGTTTGAATCTTTTTTTCGAGAGTGGCCATGGGATTCTCCGTCTATCAGACGTTGTCACCACCTTCTCGTATAAGATGTGGTAGTTCTTCAGGGGAAAAGTCTCTCTGGGCTCAATACTTTCGCAGCAAGTACTGCCCCAAGTGCGTATGTCACTTCTGCAGGGTGACGATCACTGATCACGACAGCAGTCAGTGGAAGAGGCTCACGAGGGTTGGTAGGCGCGCCCAGAAGCACATCTTCTGGACTCTGGAGAGGGTGAAGATAGTTTCTAGGACGATTGGTGGTTTGGTGATGGGTTGTTCTCGATCACTAGATAGGTCATGAATTCTCCCTCCCTGTAGGTGAGGGACCTTTGGACATACGAGATATGGGATAGGGATAAGCTAGAGAGGGAATTGGATTCTGGCGCGAGCTTTAGTGAGCATTTATTAGAGCAGATCCAGCAGATTTCCATCTCGGGGGATGGTTCAGATGGTATGAGGTGGAGACTTACATCTTCATGTGTGTTTTCTACGGCCTCGGCTTGGGGAGAAGTACGGCAGAAAGACCAGCCCAACCTTCTCTTCGGAGCCATCTGGACCGACTTGCTTACCCCGACTATTTCTGTCTTCCTTTGGCGTCTTCTTCTACGTGGGATACCGATTGATACTGTGCTGCAGGCGAGTGGGGTCTCCTTCCCCTCGTGGTGTTACTGTTGTACTAAGGCCGGACACTTCCAGATAGAGACCTTCTCCCATTTGTTTTTAGAGAGCGAGGTTGTGAGGAGAGTGTGAGAGCATTACGCCATATATACACATATATCCCTACCCACCACAGACAGTTTCTTTGTGCTCTTGGGTTTTTTTCTCACAGCGCACACACATTAGACACGTGAGTTTTCTCCTCATTCTCTTTAGTTCAAGTTGTCCCTCAGCTATTTCTTCATGCTTTTTTAACCGATACCTAATCCGGTAGTTCGCCTTCTTGCCCCTATTCCCCTTCACTTCGATGGCTGCGGGAATAGTCGAAGCCATACCCAATCGAAAGGAATAATGTGAAGCATAGAGATATTACTTTTGTATCTTCTAATATTGTTTTTCAGGTTGATCGCCATATCTCTCTCCTTACAGCTTTGAGCAGACTCACGCCTAGAGACTGGATAGGCTACACGTCGCCTCACTGCTTCGTGCCGTCATTGTTGCTGTCTGTCTAGAACCGACATCCCAGAGCCGTTGTTTGGCTTAGACCCAATCCCCCTTAGGTTAAGCTGAACACCGATAGATCTTTCGACCGACTCACTGGAGCAACCGGAGGAGGGGGCTTTATATGGGACCACAATAGAAATCTCATTGCTCCTTCCACGCTCCACTTCAGACCTCTTCGAGCTACGACGCAGAGGTCCAGGCACTTCAAATCAGACTCCAGATTGCAGCCTCTATCTCTACCCACATTTAGATTGAGTTAGTTGCTACCGCTATCGCCACCCGCTTGACCTCGGGCAACCAGGGATCGTGGCAGATACACCACCCGCTCATGCGTATCAGATCTACAACTTAGTTGGTTCAGTATTAGATCTCGCACATCTTTCGCAAGGGGAACCGACCTGCTGACTTCCTAGCGAGCCTTGTAGCCACCAATCCAGAGAGGCGCACACTCCAGATTGACGACGCCCCACTCCGCCTACGTACATTAGTGTAGATGGACCAGTTAGGCTACCCTCATTCCGTTTCCACTAGACTCGATTTGTTTTTTACATTTTTCCCAACCTTGTTATGCAGATTGTACGTCTGGGCACCTGTCAGCCCAAGTTTAGACATTTTTTATTTTTTATTTTTTAATTTTTTTCAGTTTTGTTTCTTCTTGTACTTGTTGGATTTGTAATATTTTTATTTCTTCAGAGCATCTCCAATGTGAGATGTTGACGTAATATAATGTTAGCCATATCATCAAGTTATAAAGTGATTACAAAAATTACTCTCCAATCCATAATGTTATGGACTCTTTTATGCTGACATGGAGAAAATAAATATCTAAAGTGTGAAGCCCACTTTCTAGTTTTCCAAAGTGTGTTTGAAAGTCAACTCATCAAAAATCTAACTTATTTTAAGATTTTGAAAGGAATACATTGGAGATGTTCCAAATTAAAGTCTTCTCTTTTAACATTCATATTACATGAATTTACATTTTATTCATCTTTGACATGTGTTCAAATTTAATTAATGTTGAAAGTGAAGCATTGGAGATGCTCTCATCTCAATTGAAGTTTTGATTATCTATAGGTTGGAGATTAGGGGTTAATATCTACCATTCAAGTGTTTTTTTGTTAAAGAAATAGAAAAAGTAAAAAACTCTCGAGTACTTTTACCCAATTTTCTCAACGCAGTGAACAAACTCTAATCTGCGCACTTCCCCCGCCGCCCCCTGCACGCCGCTAACCTGCGCCACCTCCGTTTTCTCCCCCAAATCATCACCGAAATAACCTACCTCCATCCACCCGGCTTTATCACTAACATGCGCCTTCACCCCCTCTTCTCCATCATCCCCATGGCCCCTTCCTCCTCCGTCAGAAAACCCCCCGCTCCCAAAACCCCTGTTCCCTCCGCCGCCGCTGCCGCCGCCCACCACCACTCGAATTCTCCAAACTGCCCCTCCCTATGCCGGCATTCCCCCTCCGCTACCCTCGACCTTCTCATCTTCGTCCTCGTCCTCTTCTCCGGCGCCTTCCTCATAATCTCCTACTTCTCCTACATCGTCCAGTCCCTCTCCCTTCTCCTCCCGTCTCTCTCCGTCGTCGCCGCCCACCTCCACCGCAACCTCGCCTCCAGCCCCCAGTCCCAGCTGATCTTCTTTGCCTTCTTCGCCGTCTCCTTCGTGGCATTCGCCGTTTCCTTCGAGATCTGCTGGGGGCACAGATCCCGTAGGTGCGGTAGGAAGGGCTGCCGGGGGCTGAGGAGGGCGATGGAGTTCGATCTGCAGCTGCAGGGGGAGGACCTGCTGCGGGCCGCCGACGGGAACAAGGCCGTGAAAGATGTCGACGACCTGCCGTGGAAGGGCGGCGCCAAGGACAACCCAGATTACGAGTGCCTGCGTGCGGAGCTTAGGAAGATGGCCCCGCCTAATGGGCGTGCTGTACTGCTCTTCAGGGACAGGTGTGGGTGCCCTATTTCCAAACTCGAGGGATGGTGGCCCAAGCGTGGCCGGCGTCACAAGAAGTGAGTGGTTTTTATCTTAATTTTTATATATTTATTTTTGGGAATTGTGCACATCGCATGAATTTTTTCTGTTTTTTTTTTTTCCCGAGTATTTTGTGATTGAGGACTATTGTGCATGTTCTTCATTAGTTGGTTCTTAGTATTTTGGTTTTTGCATCTTTCACTTTGTTATTTGGATTTTCTTGACTGTATGAACCACATTGTTGTTGATTTTGGTTTCTTCTGGGAGTTTGAAGTGTGTAGATGGTGTATGAAATTTGTGGAGATAAAGATCTTTGAATTCGATACATTTGTGTTTTCATATGATGGTTGTCACTATTTGAGGTGGGAGATAAGCTTTGGTTTCTTGTAAAGTAACGTTGTGATTATCAAATTCGTTGTTGAAATACCACTGTCAGTTGATTATTATCTTGAACTCATGTACCAATGTTGTTCTTCTCACTTGCTGATCATCAGTGACCCTCTTCATATTAGAATGTTTTGTTGGAAATATATTTGTGGATTTCAAATGGTTATGTAGTCAAATGAAAGAATTTTAGCAAACAAATATTGATGGCATCTGTGTTATGTAAAGATAATATGGGTCAACAGATTAATGATTAAATATCTTTATACCTTACTTTGACTGTCGAGAACATGACAAGGGAGCTCAAATATACATCCAGTATATTGTGTGTGTCCTTTGTCTGGTCTCTGTGTGCTCTATTTTCTTTATATATCCAGTGTTCCCAGATATCATAACTAACAGTCTTTCACTTAAAGCTTGTTTGGTAGGATAATTTATTATGCTAAGTAGATGCAAAGCTTCATTTGTTTGAAAATGTTTTTTCATTGTTTCACATTTCATAACCAAGTAGATTCAAATCTAGTGGCTAAGTAGATTCAAGTCTGGAACATGCAGTTCGGAACCTGTGGACAGTGCTAATTTCAGCATTCTGATAACATTTCTTATGATTGAGTGCATGAGTTAATTTTATCTGCAGTCTATCTCCCACTTTGTGTTTCAAACCATATTTGAAATCCATTTTGATTGTTGCCCAATTGTAAATCAGGCCTTTTATCTATCAAATTTGCTTATATGCTCCTGCATCCTCCTCCATGTTGATTTTGATAACATGCATTGCATGGTGTTTGTATCTGCCTGATTTCTATTGTTGATCAGCTACTTTTGAACCCAAAATTTACCCCATTTTGCTTGGCTTATATCTGTTATCATTTCAGGAGCTTGGCCCAGGCTGGTGGAGGTGATAATCCCTGACTACTGAATTGTTCACTTGTTCGTAGTCTTATTCTTCTTTTGTCATTCAATTCAAATGAGTTAATGTCTGTCCCTGAATGGCGCCATTCAATTCCTGTTCGAAGAAACTTTGTCCCAGTCCTTTATTTTTTCCACCACAATTCCTAGTTGATGTATGTCCTTGAATGGTGTCTTAAACAAACTTAAACATACCCGAGAAAGCTTTTCTCCCTAAGAAATTAAGTTGAAATGAGTTGAGGAGGAAGATGCCTGCTTTGAGCATGGAAGAAGCATTTCAATCAATAGAATAATAGGAATCTGTCGGCATTGATCAGTGTCTAAGATGTAAACTACACGCCTGAGGTTCAGGCTGTTTACCACACACACAAAAAAATAAATAAATAAATGAATGAATAAATGATCAATTGTACCTCATGGCATTGTGTTTCGCTTGTGAAAATGCAGTTTAAAGAGGAGTTTTCGTAAAGAATTCACAATACTCAGGGGCATATTTATGTAATTAAAAGACGTGATCATTAATGGCATGGTTAACCATCAGGGAAAATTTTCTAATTGGCTTACAAATTCTGGTATGATGTTGTTGTCTCATGTTGGTAATATATCTAATTATCTTGGGAAGCAGAACAAGCATAATATGGTAATGAATGTATGTATGTATACTAGTACGATATTACTACACGAGTAATTGAAAAAATTGATAGTTTTACAGCAAAAATAAATTTATAATTTACATCCTTATTGTTAAATTATAAGTAAATGTACTATAAATAATAAATAACTTAGAAAATGTTATTATTTAACATGAAACTTGTAATTTACACTCAATTTGTTGAAAATTATAAATTTCTTAATTTATATTTATAAAATTATATATGTCGAAAATGCAAGGATTTGAATACCCAACTGGCCATCGAACCAGTGAAGCTACCGGTTTAATGGTTCACTAGTCGGGTCAGTAGACGAACCGTTTTAATTAATATATAATTTTTTATTTATTTTATATGTATAATATATAATTTATATATTTTTAGCATTAATTTTATAGTGTATAATGGCATTTCTCTAAATAATAGATACAACCATTTGAATAATGTTGATAATTTTTTTTCATATATACTTTAAATTTGTGTATAATTTTAAATTACAGAATAATATATATGCTAAATATTTTTAACAACCCAGGTTGTTTGGATCAAACAACATGGAGAATCTGACTTCAATTAAATACAAGCCGTAGTGCGTAGGCAAAAATACATAGTTGCGCTGTTTTAAAAGAAACATTGGACCTTCTATAGTCAGGTACCCGGTACCTGCCTAACGTTAAGTATCCCCATATTTCACCATTAGATTTTTAAAAATGAAAATCAGCCATAGATTCAAGGGTACAAGGCAAAAAAGTATGTTGGTAGCCTCCTACCTTTCGTACTTGCTAAAAACCTAATATACTCTTACTGTATTTTAAAATTTAAAAATATTTGAATTAATTATAAAAAGATATTTTTTTATTTATTTTTAAGCCCCATATACTTATCTAATTTATATAACAATCCTACAAATACAAAAAACAATTATCATTATAATTTACAATTCCAGATTCTTCTTCTTCATTGTTCTTCAAACATTACCTCCGAAAACCTCTTTCATCATCTCCTCATGATTCAATCTCAGAAAAATATTATTACTCCAACATATATACGAACGATTCACGATCAATATGTACCGTCTCGATACATTGGTTATATATTTTGTATATAGAGATTTCAATCGCACGCACGATTCATTCATGTATTTTATTTCGAATGTGTTTTGTGTTTTGTGTTTTGTGTTTTGTTAATCGAAATGTTAAGAGAAGTGACGTAATGTGAAGTATGATTGAAAATTCTTGTCATGCTTTTGAATTTTTATTTTTATTTTTATTATTTTTTTTTTGTGAATTTTGTTATGCGATTCTTGATCCATACCCTTGCAGTCGTGTTATGAACATTTATATTTTGGTGAATTTTGTTTTGGTTGTGCAGCCTTTTTTGTAATTGATTGTGACGAATAATGATTTGATGTGAGGAGGTGGATTTTTTAACTAGCGATTGACTGTTGATTTGTTGGTCTTTAGGAACAATATTTTTAAAATATTTATTAGACTTAGCAAGCATAGCCACAAAAGACAAGGGATTTGTTATGAAATGACCTCTAACTTTTCTCTTGTAATAGAAGTGAATAAACTGTAGATAATGAAGGCAAAAGGAAAGAAAACAAGAAATGACTACGAAGTGAAGCATAAGAATAATGTAGGGCAATTAAAAACATCATAACAGTGTCATATTATTGAGCCTTTGTCATAGACTCAAACATGTGACAAGAACAGAAATTCATAGCACCACAATTGCATTTAAAAACATGTTTATAGGTTATGTACTCATCCCAAAGAGATTTGACATTAGTATAGTATTGAGTAATAGAAAGTGAACCTTGATCTATAGTGCTAAGAGATTTATCGAGTGAAAAACCCTAGGGCCACTACTCAAAGCATACCTAAACCTAGTGTCATCCCAAACCTCTTTTGTTGAAGTAAAAATGAGAGAGATTGTCTAATTTCTTTAGAGAAGCCAGAGGCCATGACAACACTAGATTATTTGCCCTAACACAAACAACATATTCAACGATGTTCACAACAGGATTAGATGTTATCATAGAGCCATCAATGAAGGTTGTTCTAGTTTTCACACTCAGGCCCAGAACATGTAGTTGTCGCCTGCGAACAGATTGGCTACAATCAAGGCACCAAGATTGTCTCCGGCGTAGAGAAGATATGGGGATGTCGGATCATCGGTCGGCGTCGATGGATTGGAACTTGCCATAGAAACTGCAACAAGAGATTATTATGTTTGAGAAATTAGAAACACGATCGAAATCAAGATCGAGATATTGATCTAAGAAATCGAGATCGAAATCACGATTTGACCGAGATCTAAACAAAAAAAAAATGAAAACAAAATTGAAATCGAGAATGGAGAGAAAACGTGAAATAGCAGCAGAAAATCAAGAACGCGGTCGAAATCGAGAAGAACTCGACGAATGATACCATATTGAACAGAAGATTAAGAACAAAAACTTGCATTCAATTGAAGATTGAATTGTGGAGCTTCAATATTTTTTGGAAGGTTGTGAAGTCCAGAGAAGAAAACAAAAAATTAGAAGAAAGAAGTGTGTACAGTGAACCCTAAAGAGGTTATATACCTTGAAAGAATCAAGGGAAACGGGTGCGATTCCATGCAAGTGAAGCGCACCATAAGGGAGTGAGCTTAGGTGCACCTTACTGAGGTTCCATTCCATCTTCACACGAAGCTCACCATAAGAGGGTGAGCCTAAGTGCACATTAGTGAAGTTCCATTCCAAAACCAACTAGTAGTAGGAGGAGTAGCCCACTAGACTTATAAAAGAGACCTATTTTAAATATATAAGCAATATGGGACAACTCACAAGTGATTATAGACATAGAAATTTTAATATTTTATTAATTAGTGCCTTTATTTATTTATGGACATAAATCCAAGATAAATAAGATATTTAATTAATAAAGTAAATATTTCTTGCCCACCAAATCAAATCTTACGATAAGAAAAAAGATTATATCAAATCCTAGGATAAGGAAAGAGATTATATCAAATCAAGAAGGACCAATCAAATTGATGTCTTCTTCTTCAAGACTCTCTCTCCTACACCTATAAATAGGGCTCTCCTCAATGCCACAAATCACACCTGAAACACCTCAAAAAATCCAACACCTCAAAATTCAAATCTCAAATCCAAGAGCTCTCCATAATTCTCTTGAGTATCCAAATGTGTACTTCAAGATCCAAGATATTAAAGTTAAAGGTTGTCTTTCAAGTTCAAGTCCCTCTCCAAGAAGGATCAAAGAAGAAATCGACGTTCAAATCCAAGTCTCTCTCTAAGAAGGATCAAAGAAGCAAGTCCTCCAATAAGTTGTTTTCAACCAAATCAAGTCCTAACATTTAATACGGGAATAAGTCATTCGACCCCGAAATTAATGTTAGAGAAATTCAAGATCAAGCTCAAAGAAGATCCAAGTCCAAATCTATATTCGAAGGTCCAATTCTAAATTCAAGAAGAGAAGAATCAGATGAGGCATATAGAGATTGTACCCGCAATATTGTTTGATCAATAAAATCAAGTTGTACAAAACTTTTATGTATTTTTCATAAAATTTGTTGTTACAGTGATATTTTAATATGCCTAATACATTTTGAACTAAAAGTGCTAATTACAAAAACACAGTTTACACTACAAAATACAATTTAAACAATCCTAATGTAAAATATATTCTAATACTATTCCGAGGATTGCATGCCCACAATACTAGTGATTAGTGATTAGTTCAAAATACTCGATGTACATTTCAATAAGTTGTTGATCTATAAATATATTAAAATTAATTTGTGAAGAATAAATTATTGATAATTAATTAATAAATTAGTTGTAAATTAATTTATGCATAATTAATTCTAAATATGTAATCGTTAAAAAAAACTATCATTAATAAAAACAAATCCAACTATATCTTAAAAAAACTTCTAATTAGAAGTTTTCAAAATTAATTTCTAGAGATAAAAAATTAACCCGAAACTCTCCACCAACATCTGACTAGTTAAATTTTAATTAGCATCTAAATTTTCACTTTTGTCTCAGAGGCTGGCTACAGTGCCGTGCAGGCACCATTTCCTTAATTTAATTTCAGCCATTAGATGTTAAAATTAATACAAGCCTTTAGATTGGATGAAGTAACTGTGTGGTGTAAACCACCAAATCTTTTTCACGCTGATTAACCAACCACCATACTCCATACCGCCTACATCTCACCCACTTTCACATTCATTTTTCATTAGTTCATATAAAATATTATAAATTACTAAGAGCTCTTTAATTTTCATTTTTCAAATATTTTATTTTATGTACTTTTAAGCATTAATATAATATAAAGACTTTGTACTTGATGGATACATAACCTTTTTTTTCGTAGTATTTTGCTATGCGAGTATATATCTCAAATTAGTTATAACATTTATGGCATGATTGGTAGGAAGGAATGACATGGGAATGGAATGATCATTCCCTTATTCATTCCATATCCCATGATTGGTATATTTTTCGGGAAGGAATGACCATTCCAATGAGAATGGCAAAACCCATCTCCATGGGATTAGCCATTCCGTAGTAAATAGAAGATTTTCTCATTCCCATGTGTGTAGGAATCAATATTTCAAAAAATAAATGTAACAAATAGTAATAAAAAATAAATATATAATATATATTATAAATCGTGATTAAAATATATAAATAAAATTATTTTTTTTAAAAAAAATCAAATAAAAAAATTGAAAGCTTATTTTTATTTATTTTTTAATTAGATATATTACATACTTATATAAAAATAAAACTAAAAGCATTTATATATAATTTAAAAAATATTATTTTATTTTTATATATTATTAAAAATATATTATTTTTTATATATTAAAAATAATTACTTGTAAGAATATATTATTTTTTATATATAATTTAAAAATATATTATTTTATTTTAAAAATATATTATTTCTTATATTATTAAAAAATATATTATTCTATTTTTATATATTATTTAAAATATATTATTAAAAATATATTATTTTATAATTATATATGATTAAAAAATCATTTATATATAATTTATTAAAAGTATATTATTTTTTAAAAAAACGCTTTTATTTATTTTTGTAATAAAAAATGATAATGTCATTCCATTCCAATCATATTCCTTCTGCATACCAAACACATCAATGACAAAACATGTTTCATTCCATTCCCATAATCATTCTATTCTTCAATTCATTCCATTCCTACGAAATTCCATTTCATCATTGTAATTTGTGAAAAACATAATTTATAATTCAAAAAAATTGTATATTTAACATTTGTTTTATAATTTATTCATCTCATCCAAGTGATTTTTCGTTCTTAAATTTATTTTTCATAAAAGATTATACTTTTTAATTGCAACTAGTACATACCCCGTGCGATGCACGGGACAAAAATATTAAATGAGTTATTTTTATAGGCTCTATCTATTTAAGTAAAAAAAACAATAGGTTATCATCTATTTTTCACCTTTTTTTAATCAGCGTTAAGTCTAAAAAATATCAGTGTTATAATCTATTTTCCGCCTGATGCATTGTTTTTTTAGCCAGAATATTCAATATGAGTATGTTAGGGCTAGCTTGTACAATAATTAATATATTATCTCACTAACACATGTATACTAATATAAATTTGATTTTAGTATATATATTTATTCCTTGATATAAGAGAAAATAACAATTTTATTTATTCTTGTTCACCATATAATACTTACTTATTATTTTATTATAAATTTTGTTGTCATATAATGTCATTATTATTTATAAAAGTTATAGAAGTTGTACGTCTTCTTTTTCTTAATGAAAAATATTTAATGCACATTAGTATTATTTATTTATGTCATCAATTTAAAATATGTAAATAAAATTAAAATCAAACAGTGTATAAATATTTTACAAAATATACACACATGTGTTTTTAGAATTTGATTATGTAAACTAATTAAATACCTTAAATTTAGCAAATGGCAAAAACTTAATCTCTTCTATAATCAAGATTTTTCTAATTTGCATTATAAAGATATTTGATTTATTTAGCATACTCTGCAATAAAAATATATTTTACAAGATTTTCATTATAGAAATAAATCAAAATAAAAAAAAAAGATAAAAAAATAATAATGGTAGTCAATAATATACAAAGAAACCCACCCAATTATTTATATTATATCATAAATAAAAAAATACTTTAATTTTTTTATTTTGATTCATTAATTCATTATTTATTTTAAATTATTTGAAATTATAATTGTTTAATTATTAGAATACATAGTAGCATGAAAAATTATTAAATAAAGATAGTGTTTGATTAGTATAATGGTATCTAACGATTAAACTAGGAATAATTGAGTGTATGAAGTCCACAATACATCAATGAGGTGGCTAAATTCTATTGGCTTATAACTAAGGGAATGATTTCGTGCATGAAGTCCACTTCCCTGCAAAGTGCTGGTTTAGCAAACTCAACGTAATCAAAGATCACCCCTTTATTTATAACCACTTCCCTGCAAGTAGACTTCAACGCTCACATTTCTGCACAATTATCACCACCAATATTATATCAACAGAACATGTTACACGCTTTCTGTACAAACAACATTTCAAATTCATCTACAAAACTTCCAAAAACCCAGNGCCACAAACTCCAGGTGGCGCCCGAGGATCGCCGCCCTCCTCCTCCCCGCCGCCGGCCCCGGGCCCACTCCCCACGCAAAGGCCCCACACAGCATCGCCAGGTAAGCCAGCGCGTAACCCCTCATCACCCTCATCACCCCACTCTCATCGGGCCGCGGGCCCAACACAAACCACGACGGCAGCGTCTCCTTCAGCAGCGACTGCACCAGCCCGGGCCCGCCCGTCAGAAATATCACCGAGGCCCCCAGAGACGCCGCTAGCTTGACTTTGGTCAGAGCGGCCGAAAATTTTTTTCGAGCGGGTCCCACGACGACGTCGGCCACGGTTTGCATGAGAAGAGAGATGACCTCGTCGCGGAGGAACATGATGTCGCGGATGGAGCGGAAGAAGCGGAGGTAGACGATGCCGGGGGCGGCGGGGGAGAGGCCGCCGTGGCCGAGGAGGGGGCCGGAAGGGGGCGCGGGGCCGGCGGTGGCAGCGCGGAAGCAGGCGCGGAGGAGGCGGACAACGGCGGGGGGGCTGTGGAGGAAGACGGTGCGGGAGGAGGAGAAGATGAGGAAGTCGCTCCAGCGGCGGGCCTTCTGGGTCCAGAGGGAGGCCACGACAGGCATGCACGGCCACGGGCAACCCGCGGCCAGGGACTCGAGGGCGGGACCCGCCAGGTCGAGGAAGCGTTGGGAGGCGCGGTCGAGTTTGTAGGTTATTGTCAGGCTCACGAAAGCGGCCAGGGGGAGCGGGAGGGAAGGAGGAGAACTCGCAGCTGCAAGAATTCATATTATTTTTACTTTTATTATTAGGCAAAATTGCCCTTTAATATCATGAACTTTTTCGAAATTGCAATTTAATCACGACTTTTTCACTTTGGCAAATTATATTACAATCAGCTTTTCTATGACTGTTTTAAGACCGTTTGCAACAAATTAAAGATTGTGATATAATTTGCAAAAAAAAAAGTGAAAAAGGTCATGATTAAATTGCAAATTCGATAGAGATCGTGATGTTAGGAGCAAATTTGCCTTATTATTATTATATCAACATTTATTTATAACACAAATTTCAGGTTGGCAAAATCGTGCTATCATGTCGTGTGCCCGTGCTACACACTATCGTGTTTTCATGTTGTCTAATAAACAGTAGCAAGATTTGAAACACTAATTAAACATAAACCTGCAGCAAGACTCGGGACATCCACACCGGTGGCAGCCAATATTTTCTTGATCTGTTCCTCGACATTGGAGATGTTAGCAGCCGGGCTCGGCCAGTCTGTTCCGTTCATAAACACCGACTTCCACACTCCGCGAGTCACTTCTGCTGAGAAGTAACTAACGATGGTTGCCAGTGTTGCAGGAAGATAATCGGCCAAATCTTTCAGCCCTGACGCACAAACAACGAGTATTAATTAAAGCTAAAACAGTTCCATTTTTCATAGATTGTTATCAAATTCAAATTCAAGAATCGAACAAAATGACATCTCCATGAACCATGAATAAAAAAAAAATAAAAAAAAAATGGAATCAATAAAACCAAACCTGTGCACAGCTCACGAGGCGATAATCTTCCATGCGCGCAAGCGGTGAGAGCAGCATCGGCTACAAAAGGCACCGCCTCAAGAATATCCCAAGCCGGCAACTTTGGCCTCAAACACCCATCATCGCCCGACGAGCTGCTGCTCCCACCAGACCCCGCCGAATGTTTATTATTCATTCTCCTAAACATCATATTAAGCAGAGCATCCACCGTGTGGTGGACTGTGGTCCCATTCACGAGGCCCGTCAGGGGTGACGCCAGGCAGGCCAGGTGCTGCCTGTACCACACCTTAAGCTTGGGGAACGAGTCCACAAATATGGGCCCGCGGGCCGAAGAGGCCACCACCTGGGCCAGGCGCCGGCGGTTGGGGTCCCTCAGCAGGGAGTGGTCGGGAGAGAGAAGGAGGGAGTTGCGGACGAGAAGGAGGTACTCGGGAGTCAGCTGGGAGCCAACGGGGGGCACGTCGCCTACCCCGTACTCGAGGGGCGGGTGATTGAACCTCCAGAGCCTCAGGAGGAGGGTGAAAGCGTTGGTGAAGACGACGTGGGCGGAGATTTGTTCGCCCGTGGGTAGGGCCCACGAGACGTCGGGCACGCATGATCCGAACACCTCGCATAGCTTCATTAGTGAGGCCGCAAGCTCTGGGACCTGATGGGAGATATTGAAAAAACATAAATAAAAATGGGTAAATAATGCAACCTGAACTACATATACAGTCACTCTTTGCACGCTCGACCACATCTTGACCATACACGTGTCCTTTTTTGCGGATGATCGGACGGTCAAAAAGTAGTCGAGCGTGCAAATAATTGTATATATGTAGTTCAGGTTGCATTTTACAAAAAAAAA